CTTTCTGGGGGACACCCCTTGTTCCCTGGGGGAGACCCTCTGTACCCCCTAGAAAAAGGTGGGCTCCACCCTCCTACCACCACAATGCTCATTGATCAGCACCTAGTAAGAGTCCTTTGGCAGGACTAGTAGAATCTTGGAAGGACTAGTACATTTTTAGCTCACCTTGACATCGTCAAGCTGAGCTATTGCCATGGGTCGTCGTCCGTCGTACGTCCGTTTGTTTGTCCGTCCGTCCGTCCGTCAACATTTGGCTACGGTCAACGATAACTCAGGAACAGGTTGACCCACATGTTTGAAATTGGGTATAGTTGTCACTGCTATGCTCCCATATTAAACGTCCTATTTTGGAGCACGCCAGTCAACGTACTTTCCAGCCACGGCAATTTTTTGGCAAAAATGGGAATTGCCATTAGTCAGTTCAGGTTCAACGGGTTTTGATATTAAAAAAAAAGAAGCAAATTAGGTAGGGTATAATATGCTATATAATTGCCAAATAGACACAAACAGTCTGTGGTGTCACACTCGTCTGGTTTGTTGTACAAGATTTCATTGACAATATCTTTAATGCAAAATTGGTATTTCCTCTCCACCCCGCCGATAAAACGTCTATATTAGAGTAGAGTTTTACAAAACATGTCGGAACGCAGCATAACCTATTTATTTCAAACGCCATTGCTACAAAGCGGGTATAGCGCCATCTACGGTCACAAATTGTGATTTATTTTGGTTTATAAATTATTATTGCGATATACAGATGGCAATCGTTTCTATAATGTACGTTGATGGTTGCTCAATTAAAACTGACTTCTTCTTACTCACTCATTTGTGTCCTTTTTTGTGGTGAGCTACAGTGTCATTGACACTTTCATTACATGATAGAATCCAAACTTTTTATTGATTAAATCCATTAGGTTTGACCTCATTTAGTGTAGATAAGTATATGTTTATAGAGTATTAAGGTACATACTAAAGTGCATTTGTATTGATTTTCTCTTAGATCTGAAATTTTCTTGGTTTGTATTTTACGGTCCTTCTGTTGTGAGATATAACACCTCACTCACACCACACCTCACTCACACCACACCTCACTCACACCACACCTCACTCACACCACACCTCACTCACATCTCACATTACCGAGAGTGACAACGACACACATGGTGACAACAAAACACCTAAAGCTGGCGTGCGGCGCTAGCTTACGTGTATCGGCGTGAACCGTGGATACGCATCCCTGAAGTCCTTCAGACGAACCCTCCTCCTCAGTTCACTCGGCTTCCCCGACTCACTAAACATCTACGAATCAAAGAGCAAAGATGAGAAAAACATCGACAATCAGGTTAACATTTAAAACCCTAATCCAAGGACGTCAACCATCTCTATATATTACGGAGTAATATTGATATTGCGTACAATTTAATATGGTGTGAGTGAGGTGTGATGTGAGTGAGGTGTGGTGTGAGTGAGGTGTGGTGTGAGTGAGTGAGGTGTGGTGTGAGTGAGGTGTGGTGTGTTGTCCATGGGTTATAAGCTGACGTTTTACATCCGATCATGATGGCTTCAAGTGTTCTCTGGCAGGAAACGTCATTCTAGTTTCCACGAAAAATGTGAATGTGTAACAGCAATGTGGCCATTCCACTGGACACACGCACATTCCACTGGACACACGCACATTCCACTGGACACACGCACATTCCACTGGACACACGCACATTCCACTGGACACATGCACATTACGTTATGTGACAAATACCGAGAACATTGTATTTATTTCTCAATTCTACACGCATACCTTGTATTCTGCGCATACGCGTGATGCGCACGTGTTTAAGTCAACGTGGTTCTCTAATCTTGTTCTTCCAGCAAATCAATGTGTCTGAGCGTGAGATGGAGTGCTGGTTAGACCTTAGACCTTTCATGAACATTGCTCCGTATGCTGTCTCTCAGGTAACAGCCCTTGTCCTTCTAGTCCCTCTTAGTCAGGTCCCTTAGCTTCATGATCGTTACAGAGCTGACAAAAGCTTCAAACTTGGCACAGTTGTAGCTTATGGTAGTACTATATATATTAGAGGGGGTGCCCAATGTAGATATTCCTTAGAAGTGAATTACAGATGATTTAATGTTCGAACCGCGCCTGCCTGTACTGCCTGTACTGGCGCATTGTATACAGCTGTTAACCCCCCCCCCCCGCGCATACGCTATTGCGTTATAGGCGGCATTAACTCACATATCTCGCGAACGAATTGAGCTACATTTCTAGAAATTTAGATACATATAAACATATGTCTTAGCTATAATCCTCGTGAATTTTGAGTTTATTGAATCACGAATAGTTAAATTAATTACCAAAAATATGCGCACGGTATCGCTCATAGGCTAATATAATTATATGCGCGGCTATGGCCCGTAGGATAGTGTACTAACTCTAATATCTCGCGAAGGATTTGAGCAATTTTTTGATTTGATTTTGATTTTTTGCATTTCTAAAATTCTAGGTACCTATAGACACATATCTTAGCTATACTCTCTGTGAATATTGAGTTTATTGACGCACGATTAGTCAATATATTAGCAAATATATGCGCGCGGAAGTGAATTACAGATGATTAAATGTTCGAACCACCCGACTCTGAACCCCCCTACCGCGCCCGCCTGTACTGTGTGTGCATGCCTTACCACCGGTACCCACCTCTAGCGCGACACTACACGCACGCGTGTTCTCTTTTCTCTGACAGGAGGCGTCGCTGCCGAAGATATTTCGGTTGTTCCGAGCTCTCGGCCTCCGCCATGTTGTTGTGCTGAACGGCAGACACCAGGTACGTCTACCACCAGGTGGCGCTAGGGGACAGGATGATACATTCTTCTTCTTCATCTTTTTCGTTTTCCTCTTCCTTAACTTAGTAGACTTTTTAACTCGGGTACACCCAGAGTGGTGTCTTCAAGCTTTTGCCTCGGTAAATGAAATAAAATAAACCTTAAATTCGTTAATCCTCTAATAGTGAATATAAAAACTGCTTCTGCTCCTGCTATTAAAGTTTACATTGGTTGCTGCACGTCTTCTGCTGCCTTGAAGCGCCCGCATGAAAAAACAACAAAAAATAAATAAAGCGGATCAATAGATGGCGCCACCATCACGTTTTACTGAGACCGCGTCTGCCGTATGTTGCAGGTGATCGGCATAGTTACGAGGAAGGACCTCGCTCGCTACCGCGTGTCGCACCACGGCGGCGGCATGGGGCTGGAAGAACTGCACATCACCGATCGATGATCAAACCGCTCGCTTGTACGCACGCTTGCGGATAAATCAAAACTCTCGCTCAAGATCTGATTCATTCGAAGTCGGTTCCCCGTTCTGTGATACGTGTGTAAACGCGCGTAGCGACGCGTTGCGGGGCTCCCCCCGCGACGAGTTCTGCGATTCTCTACATATTGCGACGAGTAATCATTCCTACGTGGGTGTGTATGTTGATAAGCTGTGAAAGCTCTCTGCGTATCGTAGTGCGTCATGTCATGTCGTGGTGTGTCATGTCGTGGTGTGTCATGTCGTGGTGCGTCATGTCGTAGTGCGTCATGTCATGTCGTAGTGCGTCATGTCATGTCGTGGTGTGTCATGTCGTGGTGTGTCATGTCGTGGTGTGTCATGTCGTGGTGTGTCATGTCGTGGTGTGTCATGTCGTAGTGCGTCATGTCATGTCGTGGTGCGTCATGTCATGGTGTGATGTGGCAGGCACACATGAGTGTGCGTGGCTGCCTGTCTTCACTGCTCACTGTTACGTAACTGAGCTATGTACATCCTGCAACCTACCGCAGCAGGTCGCGTACTACGCGGTTATTCTCACGTGTAACACCTTTGAATACCTCTCTAATAGAACTAAATATCACTTGTGATACTAGCATCCTTGCCCATCGATCAGCAGAAGTCTGCGGATACATATCATTGAGATCTCTGCTGTAGTAATTCCGGTGACATCACAGAATATATAGATGGTACAGTGGCAAACCTGCAGTTACACGAGTTACTGTAAATTTCAAGTAAGTGCTTAAATGTTTTCTCGTTATTGTTGAATCATGAAGGACAGTTTACTATTACAAAGTCACAAACACCTATTGTTGTTTGGAATGATATGTAACGAGTATTGCCATTATACAATTGGGTTTTGTTATAACCTATATTGTATTGTTATAGCTCTAGGTCAAATAATTGCCACTGATGTAAGGTCATTAATTACAACTACGCCGAGTTCCGTATGTATTTGTATTTGAAAGTTAACACTATCTGCATTTATACGTGCGCGCGCACACACACGTGCGTGCGTGCGTGCGTTCGTGCGTTCGTGCGTGCGTGCGTGCGTGCGTGCGTGCGTGTGTTCTCATGTCTACTATAGCAAGCAACATGTACTCTCATACATGTATAAATATTATATTTATGATTTATATACTGGACAACCAGTTGGTGATTTTGTGCTACTACTGTATCATGCTGCGTTCGACGCTGGTTGAAGGTGCTTTGTACTGCGACGCCTTCAACCAGCGTCGCAGTACAAAGCACCTTCAACCAGTGCTTTGTACTGCGACGCTGGTTGAAGGTGCTTTGTACTGCGACGCTGGTTGAAGGTGCTTTGTACTGCGACGCTGGTTGAAGGTGCTTTGTACTGCGACGCTGGTTGAAGGTGCTTTGTACTGCGACGTGCAGACGTGTCAGACGTAGATTTATAAACGTGAATGGTAACCACATTTGTTACAAGCTGTAGGTGCGTGTGTGTAGGTACGTAGGTGTGTAGGTATGAATGTGTGTAGGTGCGTAGGTACGTGTGTATGTAGGTGCGTGTGTGTAGGTGCGTGTGTATGTAGGTACGTATGTGTGTAGGTATGATTAGTAGACAATGGAGAAAATACCTAACTGAACATTGTATGAAAGCGATGGCATTTGTGTCGGTGTAACTACTATTACTTTCATAATTTTTATAATAATTCTGTGATTCTACGTAACACGATAATGTCCTTGTATCACGTAACAACTTTCCTTTATTTGCATATATCACCCGCGCACTGTCACGACTTGTTCTATTATCACAGACTATACAACAACAATTTCTACAGGATCATCCCATGGGATAGCTTAACCTAGTATCACAACGAAGTTCACATGCGTGAGTAACTGAAGATTATCTGCTAAGCGTACGTGTGACAATACTAAGGCGTACAGCTTTGATACAATAGTGTCTACATTCACAGCTTAACAGGTGAGCACTCCCAGATTCACTAACAACAGGGTAAGTCTACAACATGCACTCATACATGTATAAGTACATGTACATCACAATCAACCATCTACAGGCTTGATGCAGCCGCAGGCCCCCAGGCGCTACTACAGAACCATCTACAGATCCACTTGAATGGCCGTCGTAGACGCCTAGAAGGCAAGCCCAATGCCACTTACTATACTCAAGAGTAGATAAATAATACCTGCCCTGGCATGGTAGGTGCAACGGCTTGTACTCTACGACTAGTCCAATGTCCTGAGCAGCACTCTTGTTTCAGCATGGCAGAGCCATCATTGGGGGAGCGTTTGGCATTGATTGAAGATGCCAGCAGAAGCATGCACTCTTGTTTCAGCATGGCGAGGCCATCACTCGGGGAGCGTTATTCACAGACTAGGGATGCCAGCAGAAGCATGCACTCTTGTTTCAGCATGGCGCGGCCATCACTCGGGCAGCGTTATTCACAGACTAAGGATGCCAGCAGAAGCATGCACTCTTGTTTCAGCATGGCGAGGCCATCACTCGGGCAGCGTTTTGTACGGGTTGAAGATGCCAGCAGAAGCATGCACTCTTCTTTCAGCATGGCGCGGCCATCACTCGGGCAGCGTTTTGTACAGGATGGGGCTGCCAGCAGAAGCATGCACTCTTGTTTCAGCATGGCGTGGCCATCACTCGGGCAGCGTTTTGTACGGGTTGAGGCTGCCAGCAGAAGCATGCACTCTTGTTTCAGCATGGCGCGGCCATCACTCGGGCAGCGTTTTGTACGGGTTGAGGATGCCGTTGGGATCCATCAATGTCTTGAACCGCTTCATCCAGGCGACCGCCGACGCAGCCTTGCTGTAGTGAATGAAATCTCGCTTCTTAAACCCGAGCCCATGCTCCGCGCTGATGCTACCGTGGCGCCCCCTCACCCACTCGAACACGTACGGCTCGATGCGGTGACCCACGTCGGCGTCGTACTGACGCGTCGTCACGTTCAGGTGCACGTTGCCGTCGCCGACGTGACCGTAACCATAGCAACCGAGCACGGCGGCGCCCGCCAGGTGGCGCCTCATGTCGACGACGATGTCGTAGAAATGACGCGTCGGCAGTGAGACGTCGTACTTGTACGTGTAGCCTTCCCGTAGCAACGCCTCCGCGACGCGCTCACGCAGCGCCCACAGATCCTGATTAACGCACGAGGAATAATTACGATTATGATTAAAACATTAATTGACTGTAATTGTAATAAACCGAACCAATTCATCATCGCGTATATGTTCAAAAGTGCCGTATGTGCTCACACGCACGCACGCACTCGCGCACTCGCACACGTACACGCACTCGCACACGCACACGCACAGACGCACGCACGCACGCACTCGCACACGCACAGACACACGCACGCACGCACTCGCACACACACACACGCACGCACACACACACACACTATACCCTGCTTCTCCTGCTCACCTTCTGCTGGGTAATACCCTGAGCGACAGTGCCATCGCACACGCTCCCCTCCTCCATGACGCTGTCTAGGAACGCTGTCAGCTTCTCTTCGTCGTGACCTGCGTGTGACCCCGACGTCTCGATGAGACAGTAGAACTCTCCGCTCGAGAGAGGATTCCTGTCAAACGCCGGAAAGTTGCAGATAGATTTAGACGCACTGCAGATGTTATATACCTCTACCACCATATATACACACACAGAGGAACCCGATAACATTACAATGCATTTTCTGTACGGGTATCAGTTTTAATGGATAGCCTGACCTATAAAATTGAATTAACTGATAGCCTGACACAATTACATGAATTGACGGCCATCTTGAACGCAATCTTAAATTTCACCTATCCTTCCCATGATTCAGAATGTCTACCCAAGTTTTTTTTACTCCCAGGGGTGTCCCCAACATGAATCGAGCGTCAAACTGCGGGGACATATAAATGCACACAGGACTTCCCCCAGCTGATAGACTATAGTGAAGTGAAACCATGTACAGTCAAACCTGTGTTCGCTGACACGTCCATAAAAAAGACACCACCCATCTATAAAGGACAGTTTTCTGTTTTTTCCCTTCAGTGGCAGTTATACAGTAGGTGCGTTCACACTGGCGCGAATTAGCGGGCTGCAAAACTCTTGTAGCTCGCTCGAAAAACTGAGCTTTTTACAAGTGTGAACGCAATTAGCTCACTAAATCGCACTCCAAATAGCCCGCTCCTAAGACCACTTCTGACTGCGCTAATTTGGAATCAGCTCACTTATTTGCACCGCGGCGTGATATTTGCACCGCGGCGATTAGCGAGATATTCGCCTGTGTGAACAACGACACAAATAGCTCACTATTATCTCCGATATTAGCGGGCTGAGCAGCGCGGTTTTTCTTGGGTGTGAACGCGCCTAGTGAAACCATCTCTACAGAATGAACACCTTTGTGTAACGGACGCTTTCTGTGTTTCCCTTAAGTGATGCTTAATGGCTTATATGCGGGGTTAACTGTATAATCTTAATATTCACTTGTACAATGGACGTAACCTTTGCCATGATCTGTACAATGACCATGATGCAAACCACAATAACATCAATCGTTGCATCATGATCTAACGGATCCCTCGACCCTGATATGTGATTGTTAATACTAACGAGAACACCTACGCTACCACGCATGCATGCACGCACATGCAAGCACGCATGCACGCACTCCTGCACACATGCACGAACGCACGCGCGCACGCACACACATCACGCACGCACACCTGAGGTGCAGGTACTTTTCCACGGCCATCATGGAAGCACTGTCAATCAGCTCGAAGGCAGACAGTATCTCACTGAGCATAGCCTTGCCCTTCTGCAGTGTCTTTAGCACATCTGCAAAGCTGTTACAGGCTGAAAGGAGAAACAAGAGTAGTCCTGAACTTGCATGCCAATTGCAGACCGAAGGAGAAAGGGTGGCACCAAAATATCTGTAGTGAAGACACTGAAGGGATTTAAATGGATAGAGAGATAAACTGGAGCGAGCATGTTAAATATGCAAACTAAATTTATTGAATCTACATTTTATTCAAATTTCTAAGAGGACAATAAAAGACACTATACTTGAAGAGTGATAATATTGTTAATTTTACATGCAGGTGAAAATACTAAGAGCTCGTCTTATTCGAACATCTACTGCCGGCAGTTCTATGCTGACGCTAACAGCCAAGACGAACAATTACCCAACAATGCCACGTTGACTGCCGCCGGTCTGCTGGGACACAAGATGGCCACCTTGGTGACCACGCCCAGCGTTCCCTCTGAGCCAATCAGCAGCTGCTTGAGGTCGTATCCCGTGTTGTCCTTCCTCATCCCTGACATGCAGTCCAGCACCTCTCCACTCGCTAGCACCTATCCACACGCGCGCGCGAGAGACAGAGCGCTGTCAGGGTTGCAGAAACAGCTTTTCCAAACTTCCCCCACCATTGGCCAAAGCACATAGCAAATGGTTTAACTGCTCACAAAATTACGATTGAATAAAGAAATTGCAGTGTCGTGTCGTAAAATGTTTTCGTACACCTCTTTTCCCATGCCCATCTCCTGTTTATGCCTTGCTTAGCACATACAATACAGTGAACAGTGGCTATAGTTTTTTAATTAGTGGCTAAAAAATAACTTTTGTGGCTCAAGTCTTGGCTCAAACTTTAAAACATCCAGAGGGAGCCCTGGAATGCATTCACCCCCCAACACTCACGGCTTCTAGGCCAAGCACGCTCCCATGTAGCGATCCGTATCGGATCAGACGCAGGCCACCAGCGGACGTCGACACGTTGCCACCGATGTGACAGCTTGCTTTCGCTCCGAGGTCTAGCGGCATCGCGAGTCCGCGCTCCGCGACGTGGTCATCCAACGTCTCCAGGATGCAGCCTGCCTGACACGTGACAACACCTGCGGAAGGGGAGCGCGTGCGGGGGTGGTGAGTGTGTCTGTATGTGTACGCGCATGCACATAGAGAGAGAGGGGGAGGAGAGAGAGACAGATGTTGCATATATGTTCATTGAGTTAGATCATCAAATTACACATGGAAGTTTGGAAGAATTGCAGTCGAGTGTTTGAATAAATACTTCTCAATCTCCCCTCCCCCCACACTCCACCTCACACACCGATCGCCCGGGTTATGCTGCACCGCTCACCTGATATCTCATCGAGGTCTAGAATCTTATTCATGAGCGCAGTGCTAAGCACGACCTCATCAAACACAGGAACGCTGCCTCCGACCAGGCCCGTGTTCCCGCCCTGCGGAACCACCGCCAGATGGCGCTTATCGCAGTGTGCCATGATGCGCGAAACGTCGTCGGTCGTCTTCGGTTTCAACACGAGGGAACTCGCACCTGTAATGCAATACAGAACTCACACATGTAATGCAATACAGAACTCGCACCTGTAATGCAATACAGAACTCACACCTGTAATGCAACACAGAACTCGCACCTGTAATGCAGTACAGAACTCGCACATGTAATGCAATACAGAACTCGCACCTGTAATGCAATACAGAACTCGCACCTGTAATGCAATACAGAACTCGCACCTGTAATGCAATACAGAACTCACACATGTAATGCTATACAGAACTCGCACCTGTAATGCAATACAGAACTCGCACCGGTAATGCAATACAGAACTCACACATGTAATGCAATACAGACCTCGCGCCGGTAATGCAATACAGAACTCACACATGTAATGCAATACAGACCTCGCGCCGGTAATGCA